AAAAAAAAAAAGATGACAGATTATAGACACACTAGTCTAGTACATTCTTCTCCTTGGCCTCAGCCCTCCCTCAGGCCTCTTTCTGGCAGTGGAGACCTCAGAAACAGAGGCCTTGGATGTCTATGTCTCCTGCTTTTAGGGGGAGGAGCTTGAGAAAGTTTGGGGCCACCAAGTAGAGATAATGAAGGATCACTACCTCGTGCTGGACAAGGCGGTGGAAAGGCTCCAGACGCGCATGGACGAGTTCAAGGTTTGGAGGTCTGGGTGGGCCTAAGATAGGCTGGAAAGGGGGAAAATCCTCACTGGGGACTCTCAGACCTTCTCCCAAGATTTCACAGAGGGTGAGGCTGCCTTGGACGCTGGGGGGCCAGTGGGTACTTCACTGGCATTTTACCGTGCATAAATTATTCTTCAGTTAAAAGCAAACCAGCCCCTTCCCCTATATACATATAAGCAGAAGGGCCTGGACAGCGCCTATTTTGCTGGTGCCTGTGTCACCAACACCTAGAAGAGCACAGTGAAGGCTCAATAACATTTGCAGAATAAATCAATGAGTGAAAGAGAGGATTTTTCCCACTGACTGTTGTTTAACAACATTTTTCTCAGACCAGCAAAGGGGCAGTGCTCAGCAGCCCAGAGCCTTTTAGGGACAGCAGAGTTGCCAGGGGGATTAAGGTGAAGACAGATATAGAGTCCCTGCCCAGGGATTCACTCAGCCAGACACCTTCTCCTGGAGACCTGGGGGCCTGACCTGTTGAGCTGGCCTAATGACCGGGTCACATGAGTTCTTGGAACCTGCCCAGTCCAGCCTTTAGCTTGTTCCAGATGTGACCCTAGACCTTTAGAGAGGGGATCCTGGGATGGTTCCCAGTAGGGGGAAGTGACATTCCTCCAAAGCACAAAGAAACAAAATCCCAAACAAACCTAAGGTTGAGGCCAGGCTCAGTATCTCTTGCTTGTAGTCTTAGCACTCTGGAGGGCCATGGTGGGAGGATCCCTTGAACTCAAGAGTTTGAGACCAGCTTGAGCAAAAGCAAGCTATTTTCTACTAAAAATAGAAAAATTAGCCAGGCATTGTGTCAGGCACCTGTGGCCCCAGCTACTTGGGAGGCTGAGGCAGAAGGATCACTTGAGCCCAGGAGTTTGAAGTTGCCGCGAACTGGGTTGATACCACAGCCTCTAGCCTGGGCAATGGAGTGAGACTCTGTCTAAAAAACAAACAAAAAAAACCTGAGGTTGTTTTCATGGAAGCTTCTGTTTCCAGAAAGGGGGCTGTTGGAGTGCTACAATAGGGTATGGGGGCAAAAGGGCAGAAGTAAGACAAGCCCAAGGCCAGTTGCTCCCCTCACTGAAGTCGGCACACAGTTGAATCAGGGCTACTTGGAATGGAAAAGAACTCAGACAAGGAGGGGGTAACTCAGAGCCTAACAAGCAGGTGGGAAGGGGAGCTGCCTCTCTCTGGGTACAGCTGGCTGTGTGTGGGTGGATGAACGTTTGCAGGGATATGTGTTCAGACCCTTGTGTACACTGAGGAGAAGCGACACCATCTCCTGCCCATGCTGCTCCTCCAAAAGGCCAGGTCACTGTGTCCTGGGGACGTTAGTGATGCCCTTCCTCAGTGGACACCAGAGCCAGTCTGATTCAGCACGTCTGCTGTGTGCTCACCACTATGCCAGGCCCAATTTGAGGGTGAGTGGGGTTACAGTATCTGCTTCCAATTACGGGGTGGTTGCCACTTGTTTAGAGGCCCTGGAGCAAATGAGGCGCTAATAAGCAGTGCCACAGCTGAGCACAGTGACCTTCCTCCTGACTTCCTTCCTGGATCCTGTGCCATCAAGATTTAATTGCTTATTAATGTTAACCCTGGAAGAACCTGGAACAGGGCTTTGTGTACAACACATAATTTGCTGAACCGAGTGCTGTGGTTTTTATAACTAGTTACAGATTCCTTTGTTCCGTCTCCACTCCCACGGTTTCATTGGACTAGCCTGAAACGCACACACACACACAGACACGACTTCATGAAATATTTTTATTTATTTTTTCTGAGACAGAGCCTCAAGCTGTGGCTCTGAGTAGAGTGCTGTGGCATCATAGCTCACAGCAACCTCCAATTCGTGGGCTCAAGCGAGTGTCCTGCCTCCGCCTCCCAAGTAGCCAGGACTACAGGCGCCTGCCACAACGCCTGACAATTCTTTGGTTGCAGCTGTCGTGGTTTGGTGGGCCCAGGATGGATTTGAACCTGCCAGCTCAGGTGTACGTGGCTGGTGCTTTAGCCTCTTGAGCCATATTGTGGGTTTTCTATCAAAATTTTAGCACCCTGTAAAGTGCCAGGTGTGCCTTGGCCTTCAGCTAACAGTCTTAAAAGCAGATGACTTAGCCTAGCTATATGATGGAATGTTACACAGCCATAAAGTGAAAATGAAGCACTGATTCATGCTACAACTTGGAAAAACCTCAAAAATACCATATCATGAGCCTCACACCTGTATCCTAGCACTTTGGGAGGCCAAGGTGGGTGGATTGTCTGAGCTCAGGGGTTCAAAAGCAACCTGAGCTAGAACAAGACCCCATCTCTAAAATTAGCTGGGCTCTATAGAAACTTAGATGAGTAGCCATGGGTAGCAGCAAGGGCATGCAGAGTGACTGCTAGTGGGTTTCTTTTGGGGTAAAAGTGTTTTGGAACGAGATAGGGGTGATGGTTACACAACATTGTCACTGTCCTAAATACCATTTTATTATATGTGAATTTCACCTCAAGTTTAAAAAAAGCAGAATACTTGCCCTGTGCAGGTTCTCTCCTGTTGTGTCAATTGCCCTGTAGAATCGTCCTGCTTGTGCACACTTGGTGCCTTTGGGGCTGTGCGCCTTTGTGCATATGTGTTCACGCATGTGTGTATTTAATTTTCCCAGAGTGGATAGTTGTTGTGGGAAGGTGGATCCAGGAGTTTACTTGACTATCCAGGAAGTGGAAACCTCACATATCTTGATTGGGACTTAACTCATAAGTTAGGTTGAAGAGAAGTGATTTTTTTTTTTTTGGTAGAGACAGAGTCTCACTTTATCGCCCTCGGTAGAATGCTGTGGCGTCACCCAGCTCATAGCAACCTCTAGCTCCTGGGCTTAGGCGATTCTTTGGCCTCAGCCTCCTGAGTAGCTGGGACTAGAGGCGCCTGCCACAACGCCTGGTTATTTTTTTATTGCAGTTTGGCCGGGGCCAGGTTTGAACCAGCCACCCTGTATGCCGCCTGAGAAGTGATCTTTTCACAGAGTTCTTTATACTTTGCTTTCCTGGTCTAAGATGTGGTATGTCTTTCCATTTGCTAAACACTTACATAGTGCAATAAATTTGGAGGGTTATCAAATTAGGAAATGTGTAAAACACTTGGCAAAATGAAGATATTTCTAAAAATTTCTAGAGATGAAGGGCGGCGCCTGTGGCTCAAAGGAGTAGGGTGCTGGTCCCATATGCTGGAGGTGGTGAGTTCAAACCCAGCCCCGGCAAAAAAAAAGCAAAAAAAAAAAAAAGGAAGGATAGGTTAATTCACATCATGGAGCAAATCTAAAATTCTTTGCAGGACAACTCTGGGTTAGAGGCCTGGGAAGCAGGGGCTTCCAGACTTCAGGGGTGTAGTGGGTTGAATGGTGACCCCTCAGAAAAAGATGTTTATGTCCTAATATCTAGTACCTGTGAATGTGACTTTTTTTGGAGAAAAAGATCTGTGCAGGCCAGGCACAATGGCTCATGACTATAATCCCAGCAGTCTGGGAGGCTGAGGTGAGATGGTTACTTGAGTTTGAGACCAGCCTAGGCAACATGGCTAGGCCCCATCTCTACTAAAAATAGAAAAATTGGTATGGTAACCTGCTCCTGTAGCCCCAGCTACTAGGGAGGCTAAGGCAGGAGGATCACTTGAGCCTGGGAGTTGAGGTTGCAGTGAGCTATGCTGATGCTGCTGTACTCTACCCAAGATGACAGAGTGAGACCCTGTCTCTAAAAAAAATTTTAAAACATCTTTTAAAAAGGTCTTTGCAGATACAATTAAGGATATTGAAATGAAGAGATCATCCTGAATTATCTGGGAGGGATAATAACTAGTCCAATAACTAGTGTTCTTTTAAGAGAAAGGAGAGGGAAGCTTGAGACTCACAGAGACGCAGGCTGCACAAAGGAGGAAGTAGAGATTGGTGTCATGCAGCCCCAGCCAGGGAAGGCCAGGAAGCACCAGAAGAAGAGGCACCCCTAGAGCTTTCAGAGGGAGCACAGCCCTGTCAACACTTTGAACTGTGAAAGGATAAATTTCTGTTGTTACAAGCCATCCCACTGGTGTGATCTATTATGGCAGTCACAGGACAGGTTTAGGCAATGCTCATCACTGGGAGGCTGTCAGCTGCCAAAAACCTCAGAGTCCTGTCTAAGCTATGCCTCTGGGGCTCCCAGGAGTCCAGAGTCAAAGCCACCAGCTATAACCCCTCTGCAGCAGCAGCTGCCACCCAACCAAAGATCAGTGACGTGTTGGGGCCTTTGCAGACTCCTCTGCAGGGCACAGAGCCTTCCAGGAGCCTCCCAGGGGGAGAAAAAGATAGGAATGGGCAGCACATGGAGAGGACTGAGGGCCTCTGGAGTGTTTTCTTTGGGAGCATTTCACATGAATATCACAGCAGGAAAATAAGTAGAGATAGAATCTTTCTTACTGATTGTATGGAAAACCCGATTTGCCCTTTGCAAGTAGACAAGTAGTCTTTGATGAGGTTCTGGCTACATTCTAAAATCATTCTTGGAACAAACTATGGAATCCTCAGCTCTGTGACTTCCATGCAAGATAAGACTTACAGCTCATGTATATATACTGAATGCTGTCTGCCAGGAACATTCTAGATACATTTCTATAGTCCCCGCCACATCCCCAGAAGAGAAGTGGAACTGATGCCATATTAAAGAGGAGGAAACAGAGGCTTAGGCAAAAAGACCAACCCGAGCTTGCCCACCTGGGTCTTGGGGTCCAGGGCATAGGCTCTGTGATAGATGAACTTGAGTCTGAGTCCTAATTCCCCTGCCTATTCAGTTTATTGGTTTCCTGAGGCTGCTGTAACAAATTACCACAAACTGGATGTCTTAAAATGGTAACAGTGTCTTCTCTTATAATTCTAGAGACTGAAAATCTGAAGTCAAGGTGTTAGGTGCTCCATCAGAAGGCTCAGTGGAGAATGTTCCCTTGCCGCTTCAGGCTTCTGGTGGCTTGAAGTGTTCCCAAGCTTCTGGCTGCATCACTCCCCTCTCTGCCTCTGGGCACATGGCCCCTTCCCTCTATGAGTCTCTGTGTCTTCACACAGTCTTATTTTATTTTTTTTGAGACAGAGACTCAAGCTGTCCCCTGGGTAGAGGGCTGTGGCATCAAAGCTCACAGCAACCTCCAACTCCTGGGCTCAAACGAGTCTCCTGCCTCAGCCTCCCAAGTAGCTGGGATCATAGGCGCTCGCCACAACGCCCGGCTATTTTTTGGTTGCAGCCGTTTTTTGTTGTTTTGGCAGGCCTGGCTGGATTCGAACCCGCCACCTTAGGTGTATGTGGCTGGCACCTTAGCCACTTGAGCCACAGGCACTGAGCCACACACAGTCTTATTTTATGAGGATATCAGTCATTGGATTCAGGGCCCACCCTAATCCAGTATGACCTCATTACTGGTTATATCTGTAAAGACCCTTATTATTTCTAAGTAGGGCCATGTTCACAGGTTCTGGGTGCACATAAATTTTGGTGGAGCCACTAATTTAATCCAGGATACAAGTGACCATGGTAGTAGAAGTTAGGGGGTCTTACCTACTCACCACTCTTTATTTCTAGATTTTAACTACTTGAGAATATACCTAAAGAACCAAGTGGAAGGCCAGGTGTGGTGGTGTGTTGGCTCATGTCTGTAATCTCAGCACTTTGGGAAGCCAAAGTGGGAGGAAGGATCACTTGAGGCCATACGTTCAAGACCAGCAGCCTGGGCAACACAGTGAGACCAAGCCTCTACAAGAAAGGATCTTTTTAAATAGACAGGCGTGGTGGTACATACCTTTAGTCCCAGCTACTCCAAGGTTGAGGCAGGAGGATCATTTGAATCCAGAAGTTGAAGGCTGCAGAGCCTAGGTGTTTGAGGCTGCAGTAAGCTATGACGATGTCATTGTACTGCAGCCTGAGTGATTGTCTCTTTAAAAAAAAAAAAAACAAAACAAGTGGAGTTCTAAGTATTAATGTTGGTCCTGATGACTCCAAAAGGCTAATATTGAGTTGGAGGAAACAGCTGGACTTGAAGCCAAAGCAGAAGCTTCTTCCCATACCTCCATTTCTCATTCTAGACCTTGGGACCTACCTTTAGGGCAAGGATGTGGATGTGATGGAACTCTGTGTTAATCAGAATTAGGTTCAACTTTAAATGACATAAAGCCTCCACATAACTGACTTAAACAAGGTGTAAGTGTATTTCTCTTTCACATTCAAGAAATGTAGAGGGTCAGTTGAGAGTCGGCATGGTACTCCACAGTGCTGGAGACCCACGCTCTGCATTTCTTGTCCTACTCTGTGACCTCCATTCAGAGGGTCACCTGATGGCCCAAAATGGCTGCAGATGCTCCAGTCATTAACCCAGCAGCAAAGAGGATAGAGGATGAAGACAGTTAAAGACATCCATCTGCTTTCATTTCTACCCCCAACGTTACACTAAGCTATAGGAGAAGCTGTGAAATGTAATCTGGGTTCTAGCTAAAAGTCCATTCACAGCTTTGAAGGAAAAATGGCCCCACCCTCTGGGGACATAGAAGGCTCCTGGACATAAGCTGCTATTCCTATCATGGGAAAACTAGTAAGGGAAGACAGGGTGCAGCTAATGTGGAGAGCTGGCTTTTCATGGAGTAGTGGGGATGGGAAATTAGGGTTTTCCCCTAATACTTGGGCATAGTGTGTGAGGGCACAGTTGGTTCAGCACCTATGGCTCACAGCTTGAGGCTCTGTCTCAAAAAAAAAAAAAA